CAAAAAAAAAAAAAAAAAAAAAAAAAATGAATATTATATAAATTTAATTCTTTTTTATTTCTTTTTCTTTTTTTTTTTTCTTTTTTATATATATAAATACTGATGAATGCTTATAATACAGAAGGAAGATATTTATTAATAGTTTATGAAAAAGTATTTAAAATAATTTATATAAAGAATTTAAAAGATAATAAAAATGATAAAATTAAAGTTCCTTCATTATATATATACAGAAAAAATGGAAAATGTTCAGAAAAATTAATAAATAAAGACAAAATACGAAAAAAAAGTAGAAAATTTGGTAGTACATTGAATGAATTAATTATTGATAATATTATTGGTAGTATAGAAATTAAAAATGAATTATTTTTATTTGTTGTTGAAAAGTGGAGATTATTAAGCAAATTTTTTTATTTAAATAAATATAGAAGTATTTATAAAATTGAAAAAGTTCATTTCGTTCCATATAATATTAATATAGTTACAATGAACACTGTAATAAATAATTCTTTAAATATAGATGATAGTTCAACTAATTTTTTTATAAGTAACTCAAAAAATAATGAAAATATAAATAAAAATTTTGAGATTATTAATAATTCTTTTAATTTTATGTATAACAATAATATTTTACTATCTAAAGAAAATAATAACATTGAGAAAATAATTAACGTATCCAATGATACTTCTAGTAATTTATATAATTCTAATAATGATGTGGATAATACTTATAAAATTAAAGGTGATAAAATTTACAATCAGAACTTTTCAAATAAAAATAATAATATAGGAAATGACGTTAAAATAAGGAAAAATTCAAATAATACTGAAATAACAGAAAACATTGAATATAAAAATAAAAATACTAATAATAATAACAAAAAAGATGAAAAAAATAAAAAATTACTTACTTTTAATAGCGCAAAGAAATGGCTAACTAATCAATTTCATCATAAAAATATATTAAATATAATTTCAGATATAACCAATTATGATAGCAAAAGTGTAAATGAAAATGAAAGATCAAATTCAAGAATATGTAAAGAAAACAAATTTAATAATAATAATAATAATAATCAAAGAAAAGAGAATGAAACAAATGCAAATTCTGCAACTATTAATGAAAATGTTTTATTAATGAATATTATAAGTGATAAAGAAGAATATATATCTAAAAGTAATGTAGACAATGATAATAACATAAATTGCTCATATCCTAATATATGCATAAATAATGTAAATAATGATGAAAATACTATTAATTCCTTAAAGAGAAATGTTAAATTAATTGATAATGGATTTTATAATCATAGAAATGAAAATGAAAAATCACCAATAAGTTTAAAAGAAAATAATAAAGGAAACGATGAAGAAAATAATTTATACGATGAAAAGAAACAATTTAAATTAAGAGTAGACAATAATTACGTAAATAATAAAGATACTGACCAAGATTGTTATAAGAATCAAATACATAACTGTTATGTTAACAATACGAATATATATATAAATAAAGAAAATGATTATAATTTGAAAAAAAATTTATGCAATTATAAAAATGAAGAAAATTCAATAAATGATGCAAGAAAAAAAAGCTCTGATAGTAAAGTTTCAATACACAATTCATCAGAAATTAATAAAAAAGATGAATCAAAGAATTCAGAAGATACAATTGAAGGTAATATAAAAAATCTAATTAATAATACTTATTTTAGTGTAAAAAACAATGTTACACTATGTGAAGATAATATAAAAAATGAAAAGAGGAATTCATATCCTGTTAATTTTAAACATTCAAATGATGAAAATATTAAAAATGAAGAAAAAAAGTTGAATTCCAAAATGGACATACATAAAATATTAAAAGCTATTCAGAAATTATTAACGGTTCATATGTACTATTCATATGATTTTGATTTAACACAAAGCATTCAAAATAAAACTAGAAAAAACATTGAGGAAAAGGAAGTTGAGCCATTATCTTCATCATATAATAAAAGAAAATCATTATTAAACATTTGTGAAAAAAAATTTATGTGGAATTATCAAATGATAAAGAAAATGAAAAATAAAAGTAAAATAGACGATAATTGGTTTTGTTCCTTAATTCAAGGATATATTTCATATACATCTATAGAGATAAATAGAAAATGTTTAGAATTATTATTAATAAGTAGAAGATCAGCAGTCTTAGGTGGCACAAGATTTAATAAAAGAGGAATAAACGATGATGGATATGTAGCTAATTATGTTGAAACGGAACAGATTATTAGGATTAGTAATAAAAATATTAATTTTGCTGACAGATTTGATCAAACTAATAATTCCTTCTTAAATTCAAATGAATTAAAGAAGAAAAGCATAAAAGCTTTTAATCCAAAAAATGAAAATCAACAAAACTCTTTATTTAGCAATAGCTCTTCATCTAGTAATCCAAATGAAAAAATAACTAATATAAGGTGCCCCAATAATAATGAAAATATAAGTAATCAAAATGATTTCAGTAATAATAATAATTCTAATAACTTTGAAAATAGAATTATTTCTTTAGTTCAAATAAGAGGATCTATTCCTTTATTTTGGAAACAACATTCGATGTCATCTCATATAAACATTCAAAGATCTTCATTATTAAGTATTAAGGCTTTTAAAGAACACAATAAGAAATTAATTAATAATTACGGTAATAATATATATTATATAAATTTGTTAAGCCAAAACAAGAGTAATGAAAAAAAATTAACAAAAAAAATGGTAGAATTGATAAATTATATTAAAAAAGATAAATATTATAAAGAAAAAGATTTTATAAATTATATTGAATACGATTTTCACATTTCTGTTAAAAATAAAAGTTTTGAAGATGCAATGAATGATTTCATTAATAAAATATTACTTAAAGAGATTAAAAATGTTTCTTTTTTTATAGAGCCTTTAAGATGTAATGACAATGTTATTAGAACAAATAATTCGTATAATTTTCAAAATGGTGTATTTAGAACAAATTGTTTAGATTGTTTAGATAGGACAAATGTATTTCAGTATTATTATGCTTTATATTTTATCTTATATATATTACATATTTCCAAAAATGAAAATTTTTTGAATCCTGTTAAAAAATCGTATTTATGTTTTTATAAAAATGTTAATAGCATGTTTAATAAAGACAATATCACTATTTTAACTACTTTACCTACAGAAAATTACATTCTAGATTTATCTGATAAATATGTATTAAGTAAAAATTATGAATTTAATGATAAAAGTATGTTTGATGATTTTTATTATGTTAAAAACAAAAAGAAGTTAAACGAAAAGAGTGTAGGAGATGGTGAAGAATTAGGTGGTATGGAAATAGAAAATAACAAAGAGAAGAAAAAATATAATTATGAAAAAAACGAAAGAGAAGACAAAAAGAGAAGTGAACAAACGGAAGAATATGTGCGTATATTTAAACATTTATTTAAAAAAATGTGGGTAGAAAATGGAGATATTATCAGTACACATTATACGGGAACTGGTAGTGTCTTTTCTTCTCAGATTAATGTAGGACGATCATCATTAAGTACTAATATTGATCATGCAATCAAATCCATTGAGAGATTTTATCAAAATAATTTTGAGGATAATTTTAGGCAGGAATGTATTGATATTATTTTATGCAGTGGAAAATATAATAAAAAAAACGATTTAATTGACAAAGATTTTAACTATATGTTAAATTATAACAATTTTTCAAAAAATGAAAAAAATTATGATTTAGATAGTAAACAAGATGATATTTTTTTTTATCACAATCTTCATCATAACAATAACTATAAACAAAATGATAATCAAATTATGATGTATGAGAAAAATGATAAGAGTGAATATGAGAAATATTTATATAAAATTGAAATTGAAAAATTAAAGAAAAAAGAGTTATTTAATGATAGTAATAATCAAAAAGAAGAAATTGTAGAAAAAGACCTTGATAATTTCAAATTGGGAAAAGAATACAGAAATGATGAAAAAGAAATGGAAGAAAAAAACAATAGAGATGAAGAATATGAAGAAGAATCAAGAAATGAAGATGAAGAAATTGAAGAAACTGAAGAAGAAATAGATGATAATGATGATACTGAAGATTCAGATAATGAAAATGAAGACAAAAAGTACGTAGTAGATAATGAAGATACTGATGATGAGGTAGAAAAAGAATATTTAAGTGAAAATAAAAGAAAAGAAAAAACAGAATTAAATAACAAAAACATGAGTGACATTTATTCAAAATCTAATAATAGTAGTAGATTAAATAACACTAATGAAACTAATAGTACAACCACAGATAGTATACAGAAACAAAGAAAAAAAATAAATAATAAAAAGAAAGTAAATGTAAAAGGAAAAAACAAAGTGTTATATATGAATAATTTGTATAAAGAAAAAATATATGTATCTGATATTAATAATAGAAATGCCTGTAACGATTACATAAACAGTGATCTTATAAACAATTATTATATAGAAAATGATGATTCAAAAAATATAAAGAATTTTACAAAAAAGAAAATTATTAATACTGATTATGAAGAAAAAATAATAAAACTATGGATAGGTAGCTGGAACTTATGTGGAAGTGATTTATATGAATTAAATGATATTTCTTCTTGGCTAAATGAAATTAATGAATATGTAGATATGTATGTATTTTGTTTTCAAGAAGTTGTTGAATTAACAGGATTTAGGGTTCTAATGAATATGAAAGATAAATTTAAAGAAAAGAAAATTGAACAAAAACTTACACAGTCTTTAATGGAAATGTCTCAAAGACAAAAAGAATTATTTCATAAAAAGAAAAATAATAATAATAATAATAATAATAATAATAATATAAATCGTAACTATAATGATAAAGTTGATACATATAATAAAATTCATGAAAATAATGATAAAAATATATTTTATGAACCACCTTATAGTAATAATAATACAAAAAAAATAAATGAGGAAACAATATCTAAATACGATTATTATAGTAATCATTTGAAACATCTCAATGAACATTTTATAAGAGAAAATAATTCAAAATCATTAATAAATGAAAATAAAAAAAAAATAGATAATGAAGAACAAAAATGTAGTAATATTGCTTTATTAGATATTTCAAAAAATTGCTTTTTAAATGATTACTTTAATAATTTAGATGAAAACAGTTCTTTTTATAGTACCAATAATAATGAAAGAAAAAAGTCTAACTCATCTTTATTGGAAAATACATTCGTTAAACAAAAAAAAGAAGAAAAATTATTTTTTAAAAATGAACATATAGAAAAAGGAAAGAAAATAGAAAACATTATTTATAGCAATGATGTACATGAGGAAATACGTGAAATTGGTATATCAAATGGTTTAAGAAAGAATAGTAGTTTTTTAAGTAATAATATAATAAAAAATAATGATAGTAATTTAAATTCAAACATCGATGTACCTTTTCAATGTAAAATTGCAAGTAATTCAAATAAAAATTTAAATAATTCAAGTAGACATGAATGTTATTATAACTTAAATGAAGAAAATGTACTTGGTTTGGATAATAATGAAAATGTAAAAAATTTAGATAATATTTTAAAAATGAAAAATCATACAAAGATAGATTTGACTACAATGAATAATGAAAAAGGAAATCATAACAGTGGAAAGAATAATAGTTATAATAACTTGAAGAACAGCAGTGATGATGAAAAAATAAACAATTTTAATTATAAAAAAATACAATGTAATAATGATAATAACAAAAGTATAAGTATAAATAATATGAACTTGAATAATATGGAGGATATTTTTGTTGAATGTAATAACAATACTAATGATTTATTGAACCTAAAAAATAATGAAGAACCTTTTTTTAATTTTAATGTGGATTCTGGAAATTTACTAAATGATAAATTAAAAATGAAAGATTTTACAAATAAATATAAAGAAGAAAATATGCAAAAATATAATAACCCTTTGCAAAATTCAAGTAATTTAAAAAATACTAGTATGCTTTTAAAGGATATTTCAAGCAAATATTTTCTAAACTTAAGAAAATTTAAATATGTAAAATTAAAGTCTGTTTCTATGATTGGCTTATTTATAATTATATTTATTGATGAAGGTCTAGTTGATTACATAAGAGAAATTGAAGTTTGCAAAGTAAAAGTTGGATTGAAAGGAAACACTGGAAATAAAGGAAGTGTTTCTATTAAATTTAGATTAGGTTTCAACTCTTTTTGTTTTAATAATATTCATTTAGCATCAGGACAAACAAATATTTTTGAAAGAAATACTCAAATGCAAAGTATTTTAAACAATAGCTTTCAAAATCAAGAATTAAATAATTTATTTAATTTTGATTATTTTTTTGCATGTGGAGATTTTAATTTTCGTATTAATAAAAGTCATGAAGAAGTTATTAAATTAATTGAAAATAATAATGTCAGTCAATTGTTACATTATGATCAATTTATATACAACAAATTATATAACATTTTACCTTTTTGTTTATTTTATGAACATCCTATATTATTTAATCCAACATACAAATATAAAAAAAATTCGAACATGTATGATATAAGAAGAACACCTGCATGGTATCATTAAAAAATAAAAAATAAAAATAATGATAAAAAAAAAAAAATTAAAAATAATGATAAAATTAAAAATATAAAAATAATGATAAAATTAAAAATATAAAAATAATGATAAAATTAAAAATATAAATAATGATAAAATATATTTTTATTCATTTTTTTTTTTTTTTTTTTTTTTTTTTTTGCATATGTAGTATTTAATATTATATTATATATATTTTTTTTTAAAGGTGTGATAGAATACTTGTAAGTGGTAAATTAATACACTTATCTGAATTAGAAAAAAAAAGGAGAGATAAATGTGAAGAAACAATTGGTTTTAATGAAAATAAAAGTAAAAGAAATGATATTATGAATGGTAGAGATAATAGCAAAAGCAAACAATTCATTAATAAAAATCCTGATTATTTGAATAATGATATGGATAATTTTTATCATAATGATAAAATATATTTCAAATATTTAAATTATAAAACACATAATAATTTTTTTTCAAGTGATCACAAACCAGTTAGTTCAATTATTGAATTAAAAGTTTTTTTTGATAAAAAAGATATTGAATATAAATTACTCAATTCATATAGTATGAAAACAAATGATGAATTCAATAACATAAACAAAGGTTCTAGTAATACGAGCAACAGTAGCAATAATAAAAATAATAATTTATTTGATTATTTTTTTTCGAATAGTTCTGGTATAACTAAGTACACCGCATATCCAATTTCACAGATTTTAAATTACTCAAATACTATTAACACAAAACTTAAAAATGAAATGAATACCCATTCCTTTAATGATGATACAGTAAAAAATTCAAAAAAATTAGATGAATATTCACACACTAATAAAAAAGACCTTATTTTAAATAATGAAGAAAAAAATGAAAAGATTTTTTCTTCTAAACTTATAGATTAGCAAAAAAAAAAAATCTCCAAAAAAAAAAAAAATTAAATAAAATAAAATAAAATAGAAATATTATTTATAATTTTTATAATTATTTAGATATTATAAAAATGTAGAAAAAAGACATATTCTCGTTCCCATAGTTCATAAATACAGGTAAATATATACATACATGTATAGGCATACATATTTATATAAAATTAATAATAAATGAATAAATATTCTGGAAAAAAGTAAGGAGCATAAGTCGATCTAGTAGAATAGATTAAAATAAAAAATTAAAAGGATATTAAAAAGGTAATATAAACATTAAATTAGGACAATTATCTTATTAATTGAATATTAGAATTATTTTTCAAATATTTATTTTCATATTTATATTTATGCTTTTTTTTTTTTTTTTTATGTTTATTTTATTTGTAAAATTTTTTTTTTTTTTTATAAATTCTGTATTTTATGATGTTTTTATTTTAATATAAGTATTTAATATGCATTATAACATGTTAAATTCGTATTTACCATATTTTAATATATTTTTTTTATTTTTTATTATTAGTATATTTATTTTAGTTATATATAAATGTATAAAATTTCTTATACACTACTATTTTTTTTACATGTATATATATATATATATATATATATATGCATTAGTTATTTTTATTTTTTTTTTTTTTTGTATATCTTTTTGTTTATATTTACATCAGAAAAAAAAAATGTAAGAGAATAATAAATAATTAAAAAATTTTAAGTATTCACTTTCATTTCATTGTTTTAATATAAACATTTTTAAGTTATAAATGTATTTTTAATTTTTATAAAGTTTTAATCCTTTTTTTTTTTTTTTTTTTTTTTTTTTGTTGTAAGTAAAAAATTATTGTATTTTCAAAACATTTCAAAAAGATAAATTAAAATAAAAAAAAAAAAATTAGAACATTTTTTACAAAATATGAAATTAATATTTATTATCAAAAAGACAATAAAAAAAAATGTAATAAACACTTGTATATTTTCATAAAAAGCATTTTATGCATCCATATATTTTTTAAAATAAACAAGGATAAAATATAATAGATAGAAAAAAAAAAAAAAAAAAAAATGTCTTAGTTTTAAAAATAAAATAATATATAAATTTTTTTGCTTCTTTTAATGAAAAACTAGACAAAATATTTTAAATTATAAAATATATTTGTAGATTTTTATATATCCAAACACATATTTTTAAGTAATATATATTAATATTTTTATTTATTCTAATTATATCAATAATTAATTTAATTTTCAATATTTATATTAGGCACGTGTTATAATATATACATATATATATATATATATATATATATATATATATATATATATATATATATATATATATATATATGCATACGTATACAAATAAATTCATACAAGTATTTTTTTTTTTTTATTATTTAATGTTGATATAATTTTTATATTACTAAAATGATTTTAAAAAAAAAAAAAAAAAAAAAAGTTAAAAATTCACAAATAATTTGAGATCTTTTAAAATAGAAAATTATTTTAACTTAGTTGTGAAGCACATATATGTAAAATATATTATTTTTCTAAATATCTTTTTTAACTTAATTATTTTTTAATAAAAATTTATATTTTTTCGTTATTTCCTTTTTTTCTTTTTTCAAAATTGTTTTTTCCTATCATCTTTTTTTTTACATTATTATACACACTTTCAGAAGTAAAAATTTTTTATTCTTTAATATTCTTATTATAATTTTTTTGAAAAACACTTTTTCTATTCTTTTAAAAAAAAAATACATATATGTCTACTTTTTTTGAAAAATTATATCTTTTTTTTTTTTAAGAATTTTTGTTAATTTTTTTTTTGATTGAAAATTTCCTTTAAAGTAGATTAAGTACCTATCATCTTTTTTTTTTTTTTTTTTTGAAAATTATTTTATTTTAATTAATTTTATAAAATTTTCTTTTTTTAAAAGGCACACTTTTTTTTTTTTTTTTTGAAAATATTATTCCATTAAAAGGTGATAATATTTTTTTGAAAATTATGAAGTTTCACCCCATATTTTAAAAATAAATATATTTACATTTTATTTTTTATTTAATTTTATTTTTTTTTTTTTCTTTTCCTTTTGAGATATAAGTTCTATATCTTTATATATTATTTTTTTTTTTAAGGTATCATATTTATTGTATTGGCAGATGATTTTTTTTTTTTTTTTTTTAAAACTTTATATGCACTTTATTTATATTTTAGTTTTTTTATTTTTATCCCTTTATTTTTTATGAGGTATGTATTGTATCCATTTTATTGATACATGAATTCCTTTTAATTTTTTTTAATATTTTTTCGTTTGATTATAATATTAGCTATGGATGATAATAAAAGGGCAATAAGAACATATGTGGATGATAGTCATACAAAATATTTAGAAGCTGTAAAGAATTATAATTCTCATATAGATGAATTAGTAAATTTTTTTAATACTTTTGAAGATCCTTCAATTAATCATATTAATTGGGGTAAACTAAAATATAAAGGTTTTTTACAAAAAATATATAATCATGATACGGAAGTATTACCTCTATATTTAGATGATTTAAGAGAACATTTCTGTAAGGAAAATAAAGATGCTGACCCATCTGTTTATAATGGTATAATGACAAATACGCATAGATATATGGAACTGTTATATTCTGCAGCTGATAAATGTTTATCTGATGATTGTTTTAAAAGATTTATAAAAGGATATGGAGAAGAAGATGAAAATGAAAAAACTAAGAGGAAAAATTTGAGAAGAATAAATAATGAAGATACGAGTGGATATTCGACAGATGAAAGTGAAAAGGAAGCTTTTAATAATTTATTTAGAGATATGATAAAACCAATTGAAGAAATTAGGCAAGAAAGAATGAAGGAATATAAATTACCTGCATATCTAAGAGTAAATTTCGAAATTATATTAATCCCTAGTTCAAGAGATTTAGTAAGAAAAATGAGAATAGTCAATGCTGATTGTATAGGTTCTTTAAGTACATTTGAATGTGAAGTTATAAGAGCAACGCAATTAAAACCCAGAATTCAAGTAGCTACTTATGAATGCGATAGATGTCACATGTTTGCATATAAAGCAGTAGATGGCCCATTTTTTATGCCACTTTTTGATTGTCCAGGTTGTACAAATGTTCATGGAATTAGAGGATCATTAAAATTTCAAGCTAAATTAAGTAAATTTGTGAAATATCAAGAAATCAAAGTTCAAGAATTACCAAGTCAATTACCTGAAGGAGATATTCCTAGAAGTATGAATTGCATTATACATGGAGAAAGTACCACCTCAGTTCAACCAGGTATGTCTGTGACACTCACAGGTGTGTTAATGCCTGTAACTAAAAGTGGGTTTCAAGCGTTAAAAGGAGGTTTAATTGCAGAAAAGGTATTCCACATATATTATGTACAAAATAACAAAGAAAACTTTAATGAACATATTGATAATTATGATAAAATAATGGAAGAAGTTCAAAATTTAAAAAATAGTTCTAATTTATATGAAAGATTAGCTTATAATATAGGACCTGAAATATACGGTCATGAAGATGTGAAAAAGGCATTATTATTACAGTTAATAGGAGGTTGCACAAAAAAAAAGAAAGATGGAGGTTTAATAAGGGGTGACATACATATATTATTAATGGGAGATCCAGGAGTTGCAAAAAGTCAATTAATGAAAAAAGTTTGTTTAATTGCATCAAGGTCTATTTATACTACAGGAAAAGGAAGTAGTTCCGTTGGTTTGACTGCAGCTGTTCTGAAAGATCCTAACACAGGTGAAACTACATTGGAAGGTGGTGCTTTAGTTTTAGCAGATAAAGGAATATGTTGTATTGATGAATTTGATAAGATGGATGAATTTGATAGATCTGCTATATATGAAGTTATGGAACAACAAACTGTTTCGATCGCAAAAGCTGGGCATTGTAGCAATATGCCTGCGAGATCATCAGTTTTAGCAGCTGCTAACCCTGTTAATGGAAAATATGATTGTAAAAAATCAGTTATGCTCAATATGAATTTACCAGCTGCATTATTAACTAGATTTGATTTGCAATTTCTTCTTCTTGATGTAGCAGATAGAGATAAAGATAAAAAATTAGCTGAACATGTTTTAAGTATCTTAAAATGTATCGATTCTAGTGATGATAAAAAAAATAGATCAGAATTAAATGAAGAAAGCTATGGAGAAATTGACAAAACTGTATTAAGAGCCTTTATACAATTAGCAAAAAAAAAACAACCAACCATTTCTCCAGATTTAATACCAAAAATTACTCAATGGTATGTATCTACTAGACAGTTAGAATCGCAACAAGAGAGATATAATGACACACGTATAAATTATACTACACCTAGAGCTCTCCTTGCTATTTTACGTATATCACAAGCATTAGCAAGGTTAAGAGATAGCGATGTTATAGAAACAGCAGATTTTGAAGAAGCCATTAGATTAACTGAACAATCAAAAGCAAGTGTGTCATTGCAAACTGAAAAAAGGAGAAGAAAAGATCCTTCTGTAGAAATTATGAACATTATTAAAAGTATTAAAGATAGCATTATGGAGAAAAAAAAAAAGTGGAATGGATGGATTTCTATAGAAGAAATTGAAAGACAATCTATAAGCAAAGGTTTTACAAAAGCACAAGTTTTTAATACTATTGATAAATATGTAGAATTAACTGTTTTTACTATTAATGAAAATAACACAGCTATTGCTTTTCCGAATGATGTTTATACTATGGATGAAGAAGAAAATGAAGATATAGAAGAAGATGATATTTATTAAAAAAAAAAAATGAATATTCTAGAAAATTTACTGATATATATATATATATAAGTATTTGCATACTAACATCTTTTTAATTTCCTTAATCTATTAAAATTAATTTTCATAAAAGAATGAAATTATTATGGAATATAAAAAAAAAAAATTCCTATTTTTTACAAAATTATTTAATTTCTATTTATCCTATTATCATTATTACAATTTTATTTTTTAATTTTTTATTTTTAATTGATATTTTTATAAAAGTACATTATTCCAAATTTTTTTTTTTTTTTTAACATTTTTTACACATAGTAAATGTATTTGTAAATTTAACAAAAAATATTCATAATTATTATATTAACAAGTTTACGAATTTTGTAAACTAAAAAAAAAAAAAAAAAAAAAATAAATAAATAAATATAAAAATAAAATATATGTATTTAAATTATTTACTTTATTTTCATTAAAAAAAAAATATAAAAAAAAAGATTTTAAATATAAAATATTTATATATGTTATAAATGTTTTCAAGGAATTTCATAATTTATATGCATAATTATTTAATATGTTTGACAGATTTGCATTTTTTTAAATTATTTATTTTATTCCTTTTATTCCTTTTATAATATATATATATACTATAATTGTTCTATTAATCTCTTAAGTTCTTCTTTATCAGCATTTATTTTTAAGAAAGTATTTCCTTCTTTTAATCTTGTTTCTGTTATAACATTGTGAGATACAAACTCAACTAGTAAAGAATTTATTCTTATACTTGATGCTCCTACGGTGAACAGTCTTTTGTCTTGTAATAAGGATTCTTTTTCAACACCATATATTCCTTTTTCTAAATTTTCTAATTGTATAGATGCAATAATTTTAAATAATCTTTTATGATTGATATTTAGAGCATTTAAAATGGTTTCAATATTTTTTTTTACATCTACTTCTTCACTTTTTTTATTAAAAACCCATTCAGGTAGAAATTTGTTCCATTGTCTCAAAATTTCGTATCTGTAGTCTAACCAAGTATGACATTTCATATAATAAAAGTTAATAGTATTTATATTTTTGAAATTCATATTTAATTCAAAAGAAACGTCGTCAATTGAACATATAAAAAATATGTTATCATATTGACTTAAAAATGAAAAATATTCATAGTATGGATATAATTTAATATTATCTAAATTGTGTATAACAAAATATAGAGGTATATTTGACTCATTGACCAATTGAATTAATTCATATAATAAATCATATGATTTTAGATTTTTATTTGATTTATATTTATAATGGTATTCTAATACACGAATTAAAATTTCTTCAAAATTAATATCTTGTTCGAAACCTAATATTATACATTTATGTCCATCATTTAAACAAATATTACTGAATAGATTTAATATATGAAATTTCGACCCTATACCATATAAGCATATGTTAATATTATTTAATAAATATACTTTCCACTTTATAAATTGTTTTATATTATAATGATATAAAGATCGTTTTTCTTTAATATGTGTATAAGGTAAATTTTTTATTAAATATTGTAATTTTTGTATATCATCATATTTATCTAAATTTTCTTCAACAGGAATAAAAGGAGATAAAGATTTGATTTTAAAACTAGGTTTTACAAATTCTTTAATATTTAAACTAGAATAATAATCATACGATATTAATCTTTCTGTAGATGAATCTACTATATCATCTATTTTTTCATCATTTACTGAATTTTCATCATTATTTTTTTTTTTTTTTTTTTTTGAATCATTAACCGTATTTTCCTTTACTGTTTCATCTTCCTGTGTATTTTCTAGATCACTTTTAAATCCTTCTGAATAATCACTACTTCCTTCTATTCCATACAATGTTGGGTCATTATGAATATTTATTTCTATATCTTCTCTATCAAATTCATCTATATACATATCATAATCTTCATTACCATCTTCTATTTTTTTTTCTTGTTTTCTCTTTATTTTATTCTCTTTTTTTTTATCTATTATACTCTTTTTTTTTTTTATATTATTATTTCCTTCTAATTCATCTTCCTCTTCTCCATCTTCTTCTTCTTCTTCTTCTTCTTCTTCTTCCTCTATTTCTTTATCATATTCTTTTTTTTCTATTTTGGAATTATTCTCTTTTAATTTTTCCTTATTTAATGATTTTCTTTTATCATTTCCTTTTGAGTTAAATATTCTAGTTTCATTATTAGCTCTTTTTCCTCCTTTCTCAATGCTATTTTTTCTTTTTTGTCTTTCAAGCATTAATTTTCTTTTTCTTTCTAACTCTTCTTTCATTTTTTCTCTTTTTTTTTTTTGCTCCATATCAAACATGTTAGTTAAAAAATAAGGTATAATATTTTTTTCATTTAATTTATCATAGTCGATATTAATTATGTCATTTATTTTCATTTCGTTAGAAGAATGATACTTCTTTCTTTGTAAAAAATATTCTAATTCATTCTTCGTATGTTCCCTTAAAAAGTTTACATTTTCATTACTTATATTTGATTCATATTTTTCTATATAATTACTTTTGAATGTTTTTATAATACTTTCATTCATTTCATCATCATCTAAATCCGATTTATTTATAGAAAGATAACTATCAGAAGAATCTGATTTATAAGTTGTGTCAAATTTTATATCAGGACCTAAATCATTTTTATCATTTATGTTGATTGATAAATCATCCATTTTAAAGGAATTTAATTTTTGGTTTTTTTTATTTGGTGATTTTATGTTTTCATTAAAATCTATTTTTGTATCTTCATTACTTAATAATTTATTTAAATTATTAGGTATCCTAATGATAACACTAGGCATATTTCTATTATGTTCTGTTAAATTAGTAATTAGATATTCTTCTTTTTCTTCCTCATCTTTTTCCTCCATTTCAGTCCTTATCATTTTCTTTGGTGAATTTACTTCAATGCTCTTAATCATTTTAAAACATAATAAAAATTAAAAAAAAAAAAAAAAAAAAAAAAAAAAAAAAAAAAAAAGTATTTTTAAACAAAAAAAAAAAAAGAAGTATAAAAGAAAATTGAAAAAAAAAAAAAAAAAATAATTCAATTTTTTAAACTATTTAATATATTTCTTTTAAAATTATTATATTTGTTTTTAATTATGTGTAGAAATGTTAAAATATATATTAATAAATATATATATATATATATATACAAATGTAACTTTTTTTGTCAATTTTGTTAATATTTATCTAAACAAATTCCTAGACTTTTACCAACAAAACATAATTATGTAAATAATAAATTCATATTCATATAAAAAAACATATATATATATTATGTATTTTTGTAAATTTATAAATACAAAGTGTAAAAATACATTATTATGAAACATTTAATTTTTTAGATAAAAATTTTTTAAAATTCTTTGAGAAACTTTCATAAAAATAAATATTTTTTCAATATTAATAATGTTTTTCTTTTTTCATTTCTATTTTAGATAAAGAATATATATTATTTTTATTATAGCAATTATTCCATCTTATTATTTTTTTTTCTTTTATTATTATTTTACATATATAAAATTTTTCTTTTATCAAGTTATTATTATAAAAAGTGAGGCATTATCATTAGGATTATAATTTATTTCTTCAATTATGTATTAGAAGATAAAAAAAAATCTACTTAAATGACTTATTTTTATTTTTCATTAGACTTTAAATCATATATAAATTATAATTTTAATTATCGTGTATTTTTTTTTTTTTTTTTTTATTTCTTCTTTAAACTTATATATTGTATCCATATTTTTTTTTATTTATATATGATATTTTCGTCTATTTTTCAAAGTATACCTTCGTCTTTTTTTTTATTTTTTTTTTTTAAATGTAAAAAAATTTAAAAAATAGTAATATTTTATATAAATAAAATTACAATTTTGAAGTAAAAGATATATTAATTTTTTTCATTTATAATTGTGTTAAATTAAGAATAAATATGTAATATTTACACAAAAAAAAAAAAAAAATAAAATAAAATAAAATAAAATAAAAAAATAAAATTAATTAAATTCAAATTAAGGAACAAAAAAAAAAAAAAAAAAAAAAAAACTAATACCATATAAGCATATAAATATTTAAACACTTAAATTTTATATGCCCTTTAAAATTATTTTTTATTTCTAAATTTTCCTTTTAATTAGTATAATATCGTAATTATAATTTTTTAGAAAATTTCTCATAATACCAAATAGTACATTATATGTGTCAACATTATCAAAAGTATTAAATAAAATTTTAATAGCTACATATTTATCTTTCACTTTTATAAGCATTGGTATTATATAATTAAAAAAGGTTACATTTATATAAATATTTGAAATTTCACCATTTAAATTATAAATTATATTATCATTACAAAGAATATCATAATCATATATTTTATTATCATAAATATTTATATTATTATTTTTTAAATAATTAGAAAAAATATTATTATTTATTTTTTTTTTTAGACATAAATAATTAAAATATCTTAAAATATTTATAAACTCATTAATATTTATTTTTTCACTATGATTATTAAGTTGCTTATTAAAATTCAAAAGGTAATTACATTTTATGCAATTTTTTTTCTTCATATCATATATTAAAGAAAGCATTAATTGACGATATACATATAAGTATTTATAATTGTAATATGTACTTTTAAATTTTTTAGTATACAAATGTTGCAATTTAATTGATTCTATAAAATTCTTATCTTTTATGATAAATTTCAAGTCGAATTTAAATATAAATAAAAAATAATTTATTATTAAAACAAAGTCTTTTTTATTCAATATATCAGTATTATTATTTATTTGTTCATTTGTATTATTGTGTATATTAATATATAATTTGTTTCTTTCTAATTTTCCTGCATTTTTATTTTCTATTTCTTCCTTTGGAGGTATATTGTATTTTTCATTATATTCTTTTAAGTTTATATGTATTATATCAGTAAATTTTTTTTTCATCATATAGATAATTTTGTTGAAATTATTTAGTAATTCTCTAAAATTTTCAATATCGTGAAATTTAAAATTATCAAGAATTACATTGGAATTCAAAATTATATTTAAAAATACAAATCTTAATAATAAAAACTCATACATATCATCTTCATTTATTTTTTTAAAATTATAATTAAAATTTATGTTATTCTCATTTTTTTTTTTATCATTTATAAAAATATAATCTTTCCTTTCTTCCTTAGTTTTATCAACTTCTCTAAGATCATAATTTTTCTTTTCTCTTATGTAATTTTTAATAAAATCATAGTTTTTATGATATCTTAATTTTTCTAATATAGTATCATTATTAAAATCATTTATATCACTATGTTTCATATAATACTTTTTTTTAATGAATTCTAATAATAGGAAAATTATTACCTTTATATTTAAAAAATCATTTCTTTTCAAAATAAAGTATTGAAGTAATATAAGAATTGAATTTATATTTACTTTATTTATGTTTTCCAATACTTTCTTTTCAAAAAAAGTTACATCTACTATATTAGATAAGTTTAATTCTATAATACTTAATAAAATATTAGATAAGGAGTCAAAAAAATAATTTTCTCCATCAATATAATGATTATATCTCAAAAAATTAATCTTTAATTTTTCTATTATATTTAGAATATTTAATGAAATTATATCTTTGTTTAAATTTAAGTGGATATATGTAAATAATATTTTATCTAAATCAAATATATTTATATTAAAGTTAATTATATTTTTATGAAATAAAGCTAATAAATATTGATAAAATTTATCATCAAAATTATTATTTTTTGAAAATATTAATAAATCCAAAATAGACAAATAATAACTCTTGTTTCTTTTTAATTCTCTCTTTTTTTCAAAAAATGATTTCAATTTAATTTCATATTCACCCTCCAACATACTGGTTTTAACTACATAATTTTCTTGCACTTCATTATTATTCTGATCTAAATTATTTCCAAATATTTTGTTTATATTTTTATTTAATAAATTATTAATTAATATACTTTTCTTATTTTTATCTGAACACATTTTCAAAAGACTATTTTTATTTTTATTTTCATCGTTTTTTATCAATAAACTCTCCATACCTTTTTTATCTTCATATAAATAATTTTTTTTTAAAATTTCATATATATAATAAGATATATCGTTGCAATCCAGTAACATATATCTTTTATTACTATCATATATATATACATAATTTTTTTTTTTTTCATTGTATAATGGATTTCTTTTATAATATATTTCATTTTTAAAATTACAAAAATTAATAAAATTTAATAAAATTATTAAATCATTGTTGTTCAATTCTTGATTATTTACAAGATACAAAACAAATATAAAAAAATTTTCATTAAAATAAAGATTATTACGAATTATCGATAATGATAAAGAAAAAGAAATTAAAAAATTAATATTCAAATCTTCCTTATTTATTTTTTTATCTTCTAAAAATATTTTTATGTTTTTTAATAAATGTGAATACATGTTAAATATTAATTCTACATAATTATCATATATATGAAAGTAAAGTTTAGAATAATCATAATGTAATAATAACAACGATAGTAAATGTATATTTTGTATTAGCTTTGAATTAATATTTGACTTTACACATATTTCAATTAAATCATCAAAAAATGGGAGATTTATTTTATTTTTAATTTGATAAAAAAAGAAATAATTTGCATCAGTTAAAGTTATTTTATTTTTAATTTCTCTTTTTTTGTTAAGAATCATAAAAAAAAAATTATCATATATACTTTTTTCAAAGTGATTTAAACTTAATAATAAACAAATATTTTTACATGATAAATTAAACAGATCATTTTTTATAATTGCAAATATGTAATCATATAATAAATTAAAAAAATATGTTTTTAAATTTTTATTTTCAATAATCAGTAAATTTAGAAGAAAATCTAATTCAAAATCATTTTTTATTTCACATTCATTTTTATTCTCACACATTCTATCTATTTCTTTTTTTAAAAAATAACTCAAATAAAGAGAAATAAAATTATTTGTATTTATTTTATAAAACTTTAAAGAATATGATAATTTATATATATGCAAAATATTTAAGTTAATAACAGTTTTATTTCTTAACAGTCTATTTTTTATTAGATACAGTAACTTATATACATAGTCATTTTCATTTTTTTTAATATTTATATTAGACGTTTGAGTAACATTTTCTTCATTCACATTATTTAAATGCTTATCCTTTCTTACAATGTGATTATTATTTTTGTGAGTATTATAAATGTTTGTATTTAATTCATCATTAAAAGAAATTTCATTTTCTTTATCTAAAGAGTATATATCATCATGATTTGCTTTAACTGAATAAATGTCCACATATGAAATATCAGATAAATATTTATTATCATTCAAATTATTATAACTATTTTTATTTATATCATTGTTATTTTCTTCCTCCTTTAGTAAATAATACTTTCTGTTTTTAATAGCTAAATATAAAATATTAATGATTTCAAAATCCGATAAACAATCAGTATTTTTGTATAATATATAAAAAAGCCTATTCAAAGGTGTTTTCTCATAATTTTTTAATTTTTTTTGAACTAATGCTAAAACTTTTCTTGTTTTTTTTAATTTTTTTTTATCTATATTAATTCCAAGAATATCATTTCTTTCTTTTTGTGTGTTTTCTAATAATGTTTCATTTTTGTTAGTGTCCTTTAATTTTTTTAAATTTTCAACATTTTCAAAATTAAAAATAAAATATTCATTATAAATTTGCTCAGAAGTTTTTATATATTTTACATATAATAATTTTTTAAATCTATAAATATTTTTTCTTAAATTAAACATGATAAGTTATATATATATATATAGGAATTTTTACAATCAATAAATGCATATTTAAATATATGTATTTTAGATATAAATTAAAATAAATATTATATAAAATATTAAAATAAAATACAAATAGATTAATTTTTACATATTAAGAAAAATGTGATATTTATAACAAATATAATGATAAATTTTTTAAATTATAAAAATATATATATTCATATATGTATAACTAAAGAATTAAGAAATCAACATTTATATGTGTTATTTATAAAAAAAAAAAAAAAAAAAAAAAAAAAAAAAAAAAAAAAAA